TAAAAAGAAAAGCAATTACTTGTTCGTTATCTGAGTGAAAGAATTCAAAACAGGTACTTTTCTTTCTGCCCCGTCGTAGGAAATAATGCTGAAGAAAAATGCATATTCGTTTTGCTCGATAACAGTGGATGCCATATTGAAAAACACTACAGCACCCAATGTTCCCATCTCGACGACGAAAGATGCTGCGTCTGAGTGAACATGATCATGATACCAGAGCGCTAAACGCATGGATATGTTGCGGACAAGCTTCGGAGGGGAATTTTACGCGGAAACAGTTTGTTACAGTGCTTCCTTACTAGTTCAGAGAATCGTTTATGCTCACCGTCTGTTCGTGTCTTTCTGTCGTTATTTTACAATCAAATTCTCACCAAATAAAAGAGGAAGGTATGCTTTACGGCGCTGCAGTGGAAATTCAAGCGCCCTATCTGTTTTTCCTCTAGCGTAATATTTTGTAGAATATGTCTGCGAAGGAAACCGTGTTTCGCAATGCAGCCTAATGATCGGTGGTACATTTTTGAACGCATACCAGTATTTTACTTTTACAGTTTTAATTATCCTCCAGGGTAGATTTGCAGAGTGGTCTGATCGGCGTGAATGGAGCCAACCAATGGGTATGCTGTACATACACCGTAGTCACTCCAACCTCCACTACGCGTACGCACTTTTTGTTCCGCGATAGTACGTAGTAGTGTGCGTACTTTAGTTGTATCTTTATGCCGCAATGTGGCTTTGATAAAATAATCAATTTAGTTCCATAATTCCGTTCACAGCCGTTCAGATTCTTCATTTCGATCATTTTTGTTTTACTGATTTTTTATTTTCATCCCCGTTACTCATCAGCTACCGATATCACGTGTGTAATTATTGCCGATTATTCGAGCATTTACATCTCACCCGATGGGCGCATTACAGAAGGCTCGATTGGTATTCGCAAACTTGGGACATCTGTGGCGCCGTCGCGACATCCGGCTGTCCGTGAAGGGTCGACTATATGCCGCGGAAGTTTGGCCGGTGCTGTTATACAATGCAGAAACTCGGAAATTAGGAAAACAGGATAGAGATGTACTGGTGAATACCGCCGTCTACGCAGCATTGCATGAATCTGGTCGGACAACCGGACAAGCAGTACTGAAGTTAGGTGCAGAGTTTTAGGTAACCGCGGTCACCCGCTGGAGCAAGTGGTCAACCTCCATGGATTACGTTGTTCGAGGCGTGTTACACATCACCAAATACGTTGCTGCGGCGTGCGATGTTTGCCGAGGCAGGTAGCGGTTGGAAAAAGATCAAGGGCGGCCAAACTAAGACCTAGCATGAAGATATGAAAACCCTAACCAGGAGAATCGGACAAATGGGTTCCGTTAGGCTCCCTAGCTAGGGACCTCGAAATGATCGTAACCGATGGTTGGAGAAACTGAGTGATACGGCTGAGTCTAGCAAACAGTGGCATCGGTGCATCTCAACTTCTTTACAACATTAATCCAG